ATCCTGTCCCACAGCAGCATCACAAATTAGATACTTATCATCCCCATTTTAGAGATGGAAAAACTGAGGTACAGAAAGGTGATGTCCCCTGCTCCCATCCCAGAGTTCCAAAGTGGACAGAGCTGGGCTTTGAACCAGGCCCTGTGGCACCCCGGGCTCTGATCATGGCACACGCTGCCTCCACGCTCCTGGCAGGTAAAAGCAGTCAACAAAGATCAGCCAGAGGCCCACACTCCCTCTCCCATAATTCCAACACCTAAAAAGCTCCAAAAATAGAAAATTTTCATCGGATGACTCTAAAACTCATTGAGAATCAAGAGTTAATAGCCTTTGGGAATTCCCTGGGGGTCCAGTGGTTAGAACTCCGTGCTTCCACTGCAGGGGGCGCGGGTTTGATCCCTGGTCAGGGAACTAAGATCCCGCAAGCTGCATGGTGCGGCCAATTGAAAAAAATAAAGAATTAACAGCCTTTGATTTTTACTAAGCTTTATTTATGCCATTTATTGTATGTATGCATGTGTGTGTGTGTGTGTGTATTTTTATATATATATATATATATATATATATATATATATATATATATTCTATCTATTGTTACTGTGTTTGATTGGGAAGGGAGAATGGGCTGCCCCAGGCCCTGCTGGAGGATGTTATTAATATATGCTGAGTACACCCTAATAGCGTCCTAAAATCTAGGACTATCTGAATTCCAAAACACATCTGGCCCCAAGGGTTTCAGATGAACTCTATTATTTGTCACTATTATTTATCGAGCCTACTGTGTGCCACCAATTCATTTAGGCAGTGGGGACACCATAGTGACAAAGGCAGACCCAGCCCTCACAGAGTTCACAGTTCAGTAGGGAAAGAGGACAGATGTCGTGCTGGGTGGTTACAACACTGGGTGATTGGGCCCATTGCGGGGGAAGCACAGACCTGGTGGGGGCCCAGAGGAAGAACTTGACTCAGGCTGAGGCATTCAGGGAGGCTTCCTGGAAGAGGTGATGCCTGAGTGAAGACCTGAAGGGGGGAGAAAGGGATAGTAGGGGAGGGAGAACAGGGTATTCCTGTCCACAAGCAGAAAGTACAGCTTGTGCAAAGGCCCTGAGGTGCTCCAAGGGCCTGAAAACTGTCCTGGGAGCCTGCAAAATATCTTGGGAAGACCAAGAACACAGAGGCCCATGTTGGCTTTCCTGCCTGCCCGGTGAGGCTCGCATAACCCTCCTCTGACCCCAGGGTGCTGGGGCTTGAGCCTCTGCAGTTCATGGGCATCTGGCAGTCACATCCCTGGTCTCCCCTGGGATCTCCTGGGGCTCAACTCTGCAGCCGTCAGGACCTGATTACATTGTAACGAGTATGGGCACCATTCACCCCATCCTTGATGCTAGGGAGACCCCCCCAGGGGAGACTGGAGTGCAGAGGCCTGAGCTGGGGGTTCACTCCATCCAACCATGCTCCCTGGGCCTTAGCAATTGGCCTGTATGAAGCTGCAGACTTCTTTTTTTTTCTTTTTTGGAAAAAGACTTCACTCTGTGCAAATCTGGCATCTTTGTGGATCAATTGTCCATTTCTTCTACTTCTGGGTCAGAGATCCGGGAATCTGCTGCTCCCTTATTTCCCTTTCTCTTGTCTTCCCCCCTCCGTATCATATACAACAGTCCCCCCTTATCCAGGGCGAAACGTTCCAAGACCCTCAGTGGATGCCTGCAACCTCGGATAGTACCAAACCCTATATATACTATGTTTTTTCCTATACATACATACCTATAATCAAGTTTTTAATACAATTGTTAAAGGTTACACTCCATTTATACTTATTACAAAATATTGGCTATTGATAAATTAGGCACAGTTAGAATATATCCAAGTTGTCAGAATCACTACGCTTGCGCTTTGCAACCACTATGAAGTAAGATAAGGGTTACTTGAACGCAAGCCCTGCGATAACATGACAGTCAACCTGATTACCTAGACAGCTACTAAAGCCTGAGCAGGTGGGAGGTGCTGAACAAAGGAATAATTCAAGCCCCGGGCGGGACAGAGGGAGACTGTGCAAGATTTCATCACGCGGCTCAGAATGGCAGCAATTTAAAACTTATGAATTGTTGATTTCTAGAACTTTCCATTTAATATTTTCAGACCTTGGTTGATGGCAGGTAGCTGAAACCACGGAAAGCAAAACCACAGATAAGGGGGAACTACTACAATCCTGTCACCTGTGCCTGCAAAATCTATCCCAGATCGGCCCACTTCTGTCCCCTCCTCTGTCTCCACCTGGTCCAGCCCCCATCATGACTGGTCCTGCCTCAGGACCTTTGCACTGGCTGTTCCCTCTCCCTGAATGCTCTTCCCCCAGCTGTAATAACCTCATCTATTTCCTTTGCTTTTAAAAATGTATGTCAAGGGACTTCCCTGGTGGTCCAGTGGTTAAGACTCTGCGCTCCCAATGCAGGGCACAGGTTCGATCCCTGGTCGGAGAACTAAGATCCTGCATGCCAGGCAGCACGGCCAAAAAAAAAAAAAATGTATGTCAAGGATGTAAGTTCCAAGAAGGCAGTGACTGTGCCTACCATGGTCACTGTTGGGTCTCTAGCTCCTAACACAGTTTCTGGTACACAATAGGTGCACAATAAAAATTTCTTCACAATGGAAAGAAATTTTTTTGGAAATACATTGAACCTCAGAAAACAGCCTGGTTGTATTCCCAAGTCTGGGGTGGGAGCATTTGGCCACAGACACTGATAGAGATTTAGAAAAGGAAAAAAAAAAAAAAGCCTCCAAATTTTGGTTGCCTCCCTCTGCCTTTAATTATTTTGTCGACAAGGCTCACAATTCAGCAAGTCAAGGTGGCATTTGAGAGGGACGGTTCCCTTTAGTGTAGCTGACAGCTAATTTGTGGGAAGTTTAATTACAGGCGGCGTTAATTAACTGGCAGAGTCCTGGGCAAGGAAGGCAGCCATCTGTTCCTAAAAGCGTCCTCCCCTCCTGGGCCTGGCTGGGAGGCTGGGAGGGGTAGGCTACGAAGAGGACAGGGCGTGGGGACGAGGTGGAGACAGAGGAGGAGGGTCAGGTGATGAATCACAACCTTCACAACCTCCCTTCCAGTTGCCATCAGGGCTGAGATCTGGGCAGCCAGCCTCCCTGTGGCCCGCACCATTTTGCAGCTGCCTCCAGTGGTTGCTGGGAGTTCCTTGGAATCTGCTTTTCACTGGTTGTATCATAAGGAGCAGAGGGTGTGGAGCAGAGGGGGTGACGAACACACTATCCTCAGGTCACATTGGAGTGGATTGGCACCCGCCAAAGGAGGTCGGAGGAAGAGGTGGGTCAGAGCCAGGGGTGAGGGATGCCCTAAGCAGCCTGAACTGGGAGTGGGGGCATCACTCTGCCTCTCATTCCGCCATTCACCCAGCTTTGTCCCTTCTCAGCTCTCTACCCTGGGGCAAGTCACTTAACTTCTCTGGACCTCCGTTTTCTCATGTGGAAAATAGGATTGATTACAATAGGACCCAATTCCATTTGTCTTTTTGGATAGTTGGGCCCAAGCGTTTTCAGGCTGCTGAAGGAAGCTTTGTTATGAACTTGAAGTGTCATTACTTGTTATTACTGGGCCTTGTAGGACTCTGGGTCCTTGCATATGCTGTTCCCTCCTCCTGGAACACCCTTCCCAGTCCTGCCCAACTGCTTCTGTTCTGTCCCTCAGGTCTTGAGGTAGATGCCCTCTGTCTGAGAAGCTTTCTCTGACCCTCCAGGCTGGGGCAAGTGCCCCTGTGGACCCTCACAGCACCTGTGCATCCCCCATCACCCCCGAGTCACACTGTTACTGCTTTGTCATGGCCCATTCCTCCCACCAGACTGGGAGTCCCATGCTGGCAGGGACTGGGTCTGTCTTGGTCACTACTATGTCTAGTGTGCCCAGCACAGGCTTGAACAAGTAGGCAGTCAGCACCAATTGTTGTACGGACAGACAGCTGGAGCCATGACACACATCGGGAGGTGGTGGCCAGCAGAATGCAGAAACCAAAGTTAGAGCCATTTAAAAAGGAACAAAATAGAGCCATTTGAAGAGACGTGAATGGACCTAGACACTGTCATACAGAGTGAAGCAAGTCAGAAAGGGAAAAACAAATATCGTATAATATCGCTTATATGTGGAATCCAGAAATGGTAGAGATGAACTTATTTGCAAAGCAGAGTAGGGTCACAGATGTAGAGAACAAACTTATGGTTACCAAGGGGGGAAGGGGGTGATGAATTGGGAGATTAGGATTGACATATACACACCACTATGTATAAAATAGATAACTGGGACTTCCGTGGCGGTCCAGTGGTTAAGACTTTGCCTTCCAATGCTGGGGGTGCAGGTTTGATCCCTGGTCGGGGAGCTAAGATCCCACATGCCTTGTGGCCAAAAAGCCAAAACATAAAACAGAAGCAATATTATAACAAATTCAATAAAGACTTTAAAAATGCTCCACGTCAAAGAAAAATCTTAAAAATAAATAAATAAAATAAAATAAAATAGATAACTAATAAGGACCTACTGTAGAGCACAGGGAACTCTACTCAGTGCTCTGTGGTGACCTAAATGGGAAGGAAATCTGAAAAAGAGTGGATATATGTATACACATGACTGAGTCACTTTGCTGTACAGCAAGAAACTAACACAGCATTGTAAAGCAACTATATTTCAATAAAAATTAATATATAGGGCTTCCCTGGTGGTGCAGTGGTTAGGAATCTGCCTGCCAATACAGGGGACACGGGTTTGAGCCCTGGTCCAGGAAGATCCCACATGCCGCAAAGCAACTAAGCCCATGAGCCACAACTAGTAAGCCTGTGCTTTAGAGCCCGCGAGCCACAACTACTGAAGCCCCTGCGCCTAGAGCCGATATTCTGCAACAAGAGAAACCACTGCAATGAGAAGCCCATGCACTGCAACTAAGAGTAGCCCCTGCTCGCTGCAACTAGAGAAAGCCCATGTGCAGCAATGAAGACCCAACGCAATCAAAAATAAAATAAAATAAATTTTAAAAACATATTAAAAAAACAAAGTTAGAGCCATTTAAAAGTGGAGGGGACTGTCTCGGGTGCAGGAGTGTGGCCCTGCGAAGGCTACATCCTCTTTCACGTAGTCAATTTCTTCCTCTGGAAAATGGGTATATGCATAGGAACCTGGCGCCGGATGCAAGGAGTCAGTGCCGGAAAGAGCATGGCGCAGCACCCGCCATGCCGCAGCACCCGCCATGCCGCGTGTGCTCCGTAGTCGTGCTGGTGGCTACTGTTATCCTTGAGGCCACCCCCATCACTGAGGTTGGTCCCCTGTCCTCTGAGCCTCAGTTTCCCCATTTGGCCATACTCCCCCTTAGACAAACACAGCCAGGGCATGCCCTGGATGGACAAGAGGCAGCCTCTGCTGGTGCTTACCTAAAGCAGCAGTCAAGGCGGGGCCGATGGGGCTGGCACAGGCTGGCCTCACTAAGCTGGCCGTCCTTAGCAGCGCCCGGCTTTCCCGGAGACGGCTGGAGAAGGGGCCAGACCTGGCTGTGGGGGGACTGAGGAGTCTGGGATGATGCTGAGGCCTCGTCTCAGAGGGTACTGTGGGCAGGGACCTCTGTGTACACTTATTAAGCACCCACTGGATGCCAGACTAGGCTGCCTGGGGTCTTTGCCCATGCCTTCCAGCTGCCAGGTTCACTTTTCCTTTTCACAGTGCTGATTCCTGCTCTTTCTGCTCTCAGTCTAGAAGACACTGCCTGCAGCAAGCCTCCCAGATTCTCTGGGTTGGGTCAGGCACCTCCCTTTGGGTTAACACAGTGCCTATGATTCCCCCATCACAGCACTGATCACCCAATATTATAGCTGGGCTGTGGGCAGGTCACTTAGTCAATCAACAAATACTGACAGTGTCAGGCACTGTGCATGCTTGGGGAACCCTGCAGGGCAGGTGCTGTTACTGCCCCCATATTACAGATGGGAAAACCGAGGCTCAGAGAGGTTTAATAGTGGAAAGAAGCCATGTGGCCTGGGGCCTGGAGCACAGGAGGGCCTCGGTAAGAGCTGGGTTTCGTCCCTGGTAACGGGGAGCTCATTCCCTCCGCTGGCATGGTCATGAGAAAGGTCATCTCTCTGGTGAACCGGGATGTGCCTGCTCCCTGTGGTGCCTGTGACCTTGAAGGATGCTCAGGCTTAGAGGTGTGGGGATTCATTCATTCAGTCATTCATTCATTCACTTATTCAACAAACATGTATTGGACAGCTCTTGTGGACCAGTGGCAGGCATGCTGGCCACCCCAAATATCTGTTCTCTCTTCCATGGTAGTAGAACCCCTGGTTTTCTGCTGGACCGTTGGCCATTCAGAATAAAGACTACATTTCCCAGCATCCTTTTAGGCAAGTGTGGCCACATGGCTAAGTTCTGGCCAATGGGGTGTGAGCAGAAGTGGTGTATGGGATTTCTGGGGAAGTGTCCTTAAAGGGAGAGGGCGAGCCCTTCCTCACCTCTTCCTCCTCATTGACTGGCATGCAGATGTGATGGCAAGAGCTCAAGCAGCTGCCTTGTCCCACGAGGAGAAGGTCACTTGCTAAGGATGTGGAACAATAAGATAAAAGAAACCTGGGCCCTGGACACCGTGGAGCCTCCATGCTATCCCCGGACTGACTACTCAAGTTCATGAGCAAATAACTCTCTGTGCTTAAGCTGCTCTGGGCAGGTCTCAGATCCCATGGCCAACTGCAAGCTTGACGGCTACACACGTTCCTCCCTGTCTCCACTTCTCCATCCTCATCCCAGCCCATGCCTGCTGGACAGAGAGGCCTGTCCCTGCTTGGCAACTCTGGCCTCCCACAGCTCTCGGCAGATTTGGGCCATCCACAGGGACCAAGGCAGTGTTCTCTGAATAATGCAGCTTCCTTTTGTGGCCTTAGGGCCATCAGGCTGGGAGCAAAGTCCCTCAAGAGTTGGGTGGGAGGTCTTTACCATGTCCCAAGCATCCTGTGCAAGGACCTCTGCCCACGTCTCTGTGCCCCTGCCCACCCCATACACACCAGAGCTGTGACCAGCAGCCCACTCTGCCATCATCCATCCAAGAAGAGACCCCCTTCCTCTGAACTACCTTGGAGGTTCCCAGCTATGTAGTGAAGTACAGACCGCAAAGCACAAGTGAAAAACACTCCCGTGTGTGAAAAAGAAGACATTTGACTAAACATTCCCTCGTGAATTCACCAAGACCAGACTACCGGGTCCAGATCCCACTATCACCCGTACACTGTGCCCTCTGAGAAATTCTATACAATATTCCCTCCTGGACCTTCCTGATCATGCTTGCCTCAAGCCTAGCATCTGCCCCTCATTCATTGCCTAGAAGACCCCCTTCACTGGCCCAACCCTTCTGAGAAGAGCATGCACTGGGACCTGAAGAAACACCTTATCTGTCCGCCATAAAATTAAACCACATCTGAGCTGGTCTCTGAATTCAACTACAAATTAACAGAAGCTACGGGGGACGGAGGCATCTGTGAAATGACACCACAGGGACACCCAATCAGCAAAACCCAGATCCGGGTCATCTGTGCAGGGTGAATGACCTGGTGGCCTCACATAAACAAATTGCAAGGAAAATTTAAGAGAGAAAGATGGCAAGAGAAGCTCTCGATTAACAGAGACTTAGGAGACCATCAGCAATAACCGTAGACTCTATCTAGATCCTGATTCAAAGAGCCTACAAAAATTGTATATTGTAAGCGTGCACATTTCCATGTGCTCCCTAGGTGGATACCTGACGCTATTTAGGAATCATTATTCTGGACATGATACTGGAGTTTGCGGAGTTTTTTTAAGGGGTCTTATCTTATAAAGCAGGGTCTCTCCCCTCAGCACTGTGGACCTGCAAGGCCAGATCATTCTCTGAGGTGAGGCCATCCTGGACGCTGTGGGGTGGGGAGCAGCCTCCCTGGTCCCACGCCCTCGATGCCAGGAGCCAACCCCAGTCATGACGACCACAGATGTCCCCAGACACTGCCCAGTGTCCCCGGGAGGACAACATCCCCACCCCAGCTGAGAACTACTGCTTTAGAGACACTGACTATGGAAATATTTACAGATGAAAAAGCATCTGGGATTTGCATCAAAATAGCGAGAGAGGAGGAAGAATAGAGGAAACCAGAGTGGCCAGTAGATAATCATTGAATCTGAGTGATGGGTACATGTGGGGAGGGTCATTATTCCATTCTTTCTACTTGGGTGTGTTTGACACTTTCCACTATAAATAGCTGAAATGCTGAGGACATTCAAATTAAATCCATAGTTCAGTTCATCGTAACCTACCCAAGGTGCTCTCTCGGTTGAATCAAACGTGCGATGCTGATGCAAGACATGAACACTCAGGAGAAGCTGGGCAAGGGGTCCATGGAAACTATCTCTAGTACCTTTGCAACTTTTCTGTAAAGTTAAAATTATTCCAAAGTAACAAGTTTATCTTTTGTTTAAGGTTTAAATGAATCATAAGCATATGAGAAATCAGCCGCTCCCGTGCCCAGTATTGGAACGGAGGCACAGGGGCCCCGTCGCAGGACCACCAAGGACATGATGCACACAGCAGCCCTGAGAATACCGCCCCCCGCCCGCCCCCATATACCCTCACTCGCCCACAGATGCCAGGAGCCAGCCTTAGGCTCAGCTTGCCACACGCGTGGCATGAGGGGCCGGTCCGCCCCACAGCAGCCAGGGCAAGAATCTGCTTTCAAACCCACTTTATTATCTAGAAACACTCCTCACTTCTACCCTCCCCGCCCCAATCTCCACCAGCCAGGGGCAGCGGGCCTCAGAGGGGTTCTGGAGGCCCCTCCAAGGATTCACTGGTCTCAGGTGCCCCCACGGAGGTGGCACTCCCGCGGCGGGGGGTGCTGGCTCGGGTCAGCAGCTCCAGCCTCCGGAAGCGCAGCCGGGTCTGGATGGCCCAGATCGGGGGGCGGTGACCAGGCAGCGAGGGGTCCTCCTCGTACCCATGGCTGCTGACGGTGGAGTCAGAGCTGTCCTCCGTGCTGACCACCGACTGCTTGCACACAGGGCAGGAGCGCCGGGTGGGCTGGGAGAACCAGGGCTTGATGCACTTGCAGTGGTAGGTATGGGAGCAGGGCAGGATCTTGAGCTGGTCACCTTCCTCGTACTCATCCAGGCAGATGGCACACAGGTCGTGAAGCCTCGTGAAAGTGCTCACCTGGGCCCTCTGGCTGGCCCACGCCTTGACCCCTGGCCCGCGGGCCCACCAGGCCCACAGCCAGTTCCATAGATACCACAGGACGAAGAAGGCGGTCATGAGCAGGGCCAGGGTGCAGCCCAGCACCCAGGAGATGGCCAGCATGGGGTGGCAGTCCAGGTCCGGGCAGGCCGGCTGGTCGGGCAGCAGGAGGATGTGGGCCAATCTATCGCAGCGCACGATGACCCGCAGGTCCTGGGAGGTGGCCTCACCCACGAACACCGAGGGGATGGTGATCTGGCGCCGCAGGTCCTCGTAGACATAGGCCATGAGCACCAGGTCGTCAGAGCGCACGTTGTACACGATGGCCGCCTGGAAGCCGGCCCGCTGGGCGTGCAGCACCTTGAGGTCAAACGTGCAATCATACCGGCGGATCAGCACGATGCCACCCAGGGAGCCGTTGCCCGGCCGCGGGCCCTCGATGGGATGACATGCGTTGGCCGGTCTGGCCTCCGTCAGGTAGCCCCGCACACCTTCGGGGGCTAGGGGCACCCCGAACAGGGCCGGCAGGTCCGCAAACTCCACGGTGCTTGAGTTACCATCCAGCACGGCTCGCACCACCGCCTGTGTGGGCACCAGCAGCCCCAGAAGGATCAGTGAGACCCTGACTGCCCCCAGGGCCAGGACTGGCCAGGGCTGCCCCATGGCCAGCCCCTCCTTCTCTGGCTGTGGTGTGGAGCTAGGTCTCGCTGGGGACCATGGACAGGAGGCCTCCAGGCATCTCCAGGACCTCCCAGGGGGCCCATGGCTGGGGTGTGAATGGAGTTTGAACGGGTGGCTCATAGGCAGTTAGGCAGAGCAGCTGGGACCTGCGTGGCCCTAGACAGAAACAGCTCCTGGTGGCAGCCCAGCGTGCATTGTGTCTTTGAAGGTTGGTCCCAGGAGGAGCTGACCTACCCAGGCGGCCTTCCTAGCAGATGACGCTGAGACCAGGAGCCCCCAGAGTTCTAGATGCCCCCGGCCTCTGTGACATCATCCTGTTACATCCTGGTCCCTCACCCACACCTCCCACCAAGACAGAATTCCTGGGGCTCTGACCTGGGGGGCTGGGCAACCTTCGCAAAAACTTCTGGACGGCTTAGAGCATCCCCAGCTCCTGGACATCGTAAGGCCCAGAGGTGCCACAAAGTGGGCTGGCGGCTGCCCCACCACCACCCCATGGCTTGGATCCGGCCCTCACACTCACATTCTGCCAACATCATCTCCCCAAGCCTCCTAGGGACCCACTGAGGAAGGGGCTAATTTCCCCCCCCTTTCGAGATTTCCAGGGGACTCAGACTTGTTCAGGGCACCTTCTGCCCATGAGGTCTTAGAGCCCAAATCCCAGATATCCTCCCTCTCTTCCTCCCTCTCAGATATCCTCCCTCTCAGCTCACTCTGCTCCAGACACATGGGTCTCCTTGCTGTGCCTCCAACACACCAGGCCCGGTCCTGCCTCAGGGCCTTTGCACAGTCTGTTCCCTCAGCCTGGAATGCCCTTTCTCCCTGTGATCGGCTCTTTCTCACCCTTCAGGTTCTCAGTTCATGTGTCCTCAGAGTCTAACTGACTTGATATGGGGGGAGGGAGAAGTGCCAAGGTCAGGGCTGGGCTGGCAGGAGTGGGTGGTCCAAGTCCTCAGCACCTGGTAGACTACCTGCACTGGCTTTATTCTCTCAGGTCAGAGCTTCCTTTCTAGCCGGGTCTCCAGCTGTCCCTCATCCCTCAGCCAGAGCCCTGGCCATCAGCCTCATGACCCCCCAACTCCTCATACTCAAATCTCCCACCGTGAGTCTGCCGCCTGGTTGGGCAGCCTACTCAAGCCCTGATTCCTTGCTCTGTCATTGACAAGCTGTGTGATGCCGGATAAGTCACTTAAGCTCTCTGCGCCCCAGCTTCCAGATCTGTAAAATGGGTGTAATGATGAGAAACCCGTCTTGTAGGGCTGGTGGTATGAGAATTAAATGAGAGAATGCCTGATTGGCATTCAGCATAGGGTCTGAATTTTTTCATTCTCCCATAACAGACCTGCCTCCAGTTCACAACTCTTTCAGTTCATCACCACATGCCAGCCAGGGATATTTCTAAAATCTCAATCCTCTGGTCTCTCCCATGCTCTAAACTCTCCCATGGCTCCCCATTGCCCTCCAGATAAAGTCCATGTTCATTTCTGTGTCCTACAAGCTCTCCCATGGTCAAGCCCCTGCCAATCTCCAAAGCCTCAATGTTTTCCTTTCTTTTTTAAAAATTATTTGTTTGTTTATTTATTTATTTTGGGGTCTTCGTTGGGTCTTCGTTGGGTCTTCGTTGCGTTGGGTCTTCGTTGCTGCACGCGGGCTTTCTCTAGTTGCAGTGAGCGGAGGCTACTCTTCGTTGCGGGGCACAGGCTTCTCATTGCAGTGGCTTCTCTTGTTGCAAAGCACGGGCTCTAGGCGCATGGGCTTCAGTAGTTGTGGTGCATGGGCTTTGTTGCTCCTCAGCATGTGGGATCTTCCCAGACCAGGGCTTGAACCCATGTCCCCTTCATTGGCAGGCAGATTCCTAACCACTGTGCCACCAGGGAAGTCCCCTCAGTGCTTTTCAATGTTCTAAATGCATCATGATTTGCTGACCTCTAGAACTTTGCAAATGCTGTTCCCTCTGCCAGGAACAGAATTCTCTCCCTCAACCATAGTTTTCCAGGCTGGCTACTTATTCTTTAGGTTTTCTCAGTTGGTCTAATACCTCCCAGAGCAGGCCTCGGCCAATGATAGAGAAGAGACACAGGAGTGAAACAGGCAGAAGGCCATGTGACAACAGAGGCAGAGATTGGAGGGATGTGTCTACTAGCCAAGGGATGCCAAGGGTGCCAGCAACCACCAGGAGCTGGGAGTGGGGCACGGAACAGATTTTCCCTCTGAACCTGCAAGAAGGAATCAACTGGGCTGATACTTTGATTTTGGACTTCCAGCCTCCAGAACTGTGACGGAATACATTTCTGTTGTTTTGAATCCCCTGGTTATGGCAGCTGTAGAAGTGAAGGCACAATGGAATCCTTGTCCTAGGGTCTGCATCTGGGTGAGGCCAAAAAAACATGAGGTGTCACCGCACTGAGACTGGAGGGTAAGGATGAAGTTGGTGTAAGGGGGCAGAGAACAGCATGTTGGGGATGCAAATGGCATGTGCAAAGGTCCTGAGGTGAGCGAGAGGAGAGAGAGAGAGAGAGAGAGAGAGAGCTGAATGGTTGGATATGACAAGCCATTCAGAGTGGCTAAAAAGAGGGTCTTACTCAAGGATAGGAGAGATATGGGGGAAGGAGGGGCAGGACCAGACCCAAACCTTGAATGTCCATGGCCTTGGGGTTTACACAGAGAATGACGAGGAGCCACAGAAAGTTTAGAGTAGAGGCAGGACATGACTGGATTTTGTTTCCCATTTCCGCTCTATATATTTCTGCACTGTTTGCATCTTTTACGATGGGAATAAATTCACTTATTCCTCCTGAAATAAAAGAGATTTATGTTTCTGAAAGAACCCTCTGGTTGTTGCGTGGAGGGTGGGTTGGAGAGAGAGAGAAAGAGGTGGAGAAGCCACGGAGGCAGCTGTAGCATCAGGGGAGGGACTGGGGAATGGGACAGAGAGACTAAGAGGGGACAATATCCCTGAATGAGTGAGTGGGTGTGAAGGACAAAAGGGGAGGTGACCATGAATGTCTCCCCCTGGGGCTTACTTCAAGAAAGACTTGTTTGGTGGTACAGTCTTTAATGTCTTTCTGGCAATTGCTAATTTCCCTAAGAGACAGGTCCTTGGCCCCGTTGGCATTTTAAAACATGCTTTTGTTTTCTGTGTCTTTGTTTCTTGTGAGTCCCATCCCTTCGTGGCAAGAGATATGGGTTTTTCGTTTATGACTCTCACAAAATTCTCTTTTTAAAGAAAGATAAAATGTAGATCCTTAGGGAGTATTTGGTAAATAAAGGAACAGGTGCATGGTAGTAGGGGAAAAGGTCAAGAAAGAGTTCTCCAAAGATGGGCAGTTGATAAATAGGGTGTATTCGTTTCCTAGGGCTGCTGTAACAAAGTACCATAAACTGGGTGGCTGAGAACAGATGTATGATCTTGTGCTTCTAGAGGCCAGAAGTCCAAGATCAAGGTGTTGGCAGGGTGGCACTCCTTTTTTTTTTTTTTTTTTAATATTTATTTATTTGGCTGCACCAGGTCTTAATTGCAGCATGCAGGATTTAGTTCCCTGACCAGGGATCGAACCCGAGCCCCCTGCATTGGGAGCGTGGAGTCTTAACCACTGGACCACCAGGGAAGTCCCAGGTGGCACTCCTTCTGAAGTCTCTTCTGGTGTGCCAGGGAATTAACACCCTGTGGAGCAGCCCAGAAACAATGAAAAATGGAGGCGAGTGGACAAATGCCCCATCTCTCGCTCCTCAAATGAGATAACTCTGGGGTGCACATCCCTCACCATCTCCTAGAGGCCCCCAGTGAGAATGGGCCCCAACTGTCCCCATGATAACTTGCTCTTGACAATGCTTCCTTCATGGGTTGCCTTCCTTTTCCTGTCTCCCTCCTGCCACTCCCCTCCCAGTGTTTTCTGAGATCACTTCCAAAATAAATAACTGGCATTCAAATCCTTGTTTTGGGGTCTGCTCCTAGGCCAACCCAACCTAAGACGCTGCCTGAGAACAGAAGAATGCACAAGAAAGCAGAACAAAGAGACCAGGAGAGACCCAGGTCCTAAAAACGTCATTTGAGCACTTCAGTCCATCTGAGCCTGAGGGCCATACAAACGTGTACCCCTGTGACATGAGCCAGTTATATTCCTCTTTTTGCCTGAGAGAGGGTGTCTATCCCCACACAACAAACCTCATAGGGGAGTGGTGAGTCTTCCAGAACCTCATAGGAGAAGACACTAGGAGCAACTGTAAGTTTGATTTTCTTTTTCTGCTTCATGCTGTCTCCTTCCCCAAATATTTCTAGCAAGAACCTACTTTGATTATGCTGGAGGGGACATACCATAGATGACTGGTTCCTCTGACTGTTAGTTATAAAGCACATATCAGATGGGGTGATGAGATGTGCCAGTGTTCACTCTGATTGCTCCAGAAGTCAGAGTCACATCATAGTCCTTCCTTGGTGCATCTCCTGTAAATTGGATGCTAAACTTGCACATACATGGGCGGGCATGCAGTACACATACCCATCCAGCAGGATTGCGATTCAGGAAACCCGTGTGGCCCCAGGGGGCTGGGGCTTGAGCTGGAGGGGGGGTGGACTTGGAGGTCTGCCAGGGGTCCTTGATAAATTGCCAGTGAGTCATCCACAGGAAGGCTGCTCTGGGTCCCTCTGTCTCTCTGTTTCTCCTCTCTACGTATCTCTATTTATGTCTCTCTCTCCCTCCTTCTCTACCTTTGTGTCTCAGTCAGGGTCGCTTTTTGTCTTTGCCTCTTTTGTTTCTGCCTCTCTCTCTGTCCCTCTCTCTCGAACTTTCTCTCTGTCTCAGTCTTTCTATGTCTCTGTGTCAATATCTCTATTTGTTACTATCTGACTCTGCTGTAAGTCCTTGTCCTGAGATTTCTGTCTCTGTCTGTGCCTGTCTCTCTATGTAAGTTTTTTTGGTCTCTGTCACCTTGTCCCTGTGTCTCCTTGTCTAATTTACTCTCTTTTCTTGTCTCTCATGCTACTTTCTGTGTGTGTGTCTGTCTTTCTGTGTCTTTCTCTGCCTGCCTCTCTCTCATCCCCCACTTCTCAGTCCCACACCTGGCCCACAGCAGATAACCCACAGTGGGTTTTGTCAGCTTGAAAACAAAGGCACATCTCTGTGACATGGTGAGAGAGGGGAGCTGGGTTTATGGCCCAACACAGTCCTCACTTACTGGCTGAGTAAGTCCCTCCCAGTCTCAGCATCGCACCTCCCCATCTGTAAAATGAAGGGCGTCAGTGCAGAGCCAACAGTCTCTGAACACAATTGTCAATGGACCTTCCCACTGTCTTTTGAGCTTGGGGCTGTGCTTTTTCCTACTTTTCCCAGGAGGAAGCTGGCAAAGGGGGGATCATCCTCCCCAAGTGCCACAGCTAAGAGGAGGAGGGACCATCTTCCACGCCCCAGGCTCCCCAAACCTCCTGCCCTTGCTGGGCGAGGCATCCCGCTGCCCGTCACAGACTTGCTGTCTGAGGTCAGATGGCTTCATGTGTCTTCCCACCTTTCCTCTCCGAGGTCCCAGTATTTTTTGTTTTTTGTTTTTTTTTTTTTTGCTGTACACGGGCCTCTCACTGCTGCGGCCTCTCCTGTTGCGGAGCACAGGCTCCGGACGCGCAGGCTCAGCGGCCATGGCTCACGGGCCCAGCCGCTCCGCGGCATGTGGGATCTTCCCGGACCGGGGCACGAACCCGTGTCCCCTGCATCGGCAGGCGGACTCTCAACCACTGCGCCACCAGGGAAGCCCGAGGTCCCAGTTTTTATGATAGAATAATTAAATTTGTGAAGACAGGAAACATTGCTGAGGAGAGGGGTCTGTCTGCACAGGACGATGTGCCAGGTGATGGGTACACAGTCGTGACCAAGACAAAACTCCTGAATTTACAGAGATTATATTCTAGCTGAGAGGAGGGGAGATAGCCAGGACACAAATTAACTGAATGAATAAACCATCAACCATCAAAAGAAATAATTTCAAGGTGGGACGTGCTATGAAGGAAATCAGGCAGCATTAGTTGGGGCACTCAGGGAAGGGCTTCCCAAGGTGGGGACATTTGAATGGAAGCCCGAAGTGAGGGAAGGCCTTCGCCTCTAGAACATCCTTGGGGTGCCACCAACTCATACTTCATGAGCACCTGGGATTTGTTGATTGGTGTCCTTTCAAATCAAATATTTGCTCATGCACCTGCTGTGTGTGTGCGCCAGGCACTGGGGGCACAGGAGCGACTGGGACAGACCCAGCCCCCACCCTCTAGGAGGCTCTGTCCAGCAGAGGAAGAAAAGGTTCAAACAAATGAATGAGAAAGTCTCACAAGACAATGTGGAGATAAGATAAAGGGTCTAAGTATCCAATCAATGGAAGAATGCTAGAAGGTGTGGGTGAAAGTTTAAGGAGAAACAGGCTGGTTACATATTGTCAAAGTAACCCTCCCACAATATTTTACAGATTTGAAAGGTAAGAAGGTAACTTTCCAGGGGGGAAATGTGGTGTTGTCCTAACCACGCGATCAAGGTTAACATCACTGGTGATGAGACAGAGCAACTTCCTGAGTCTCTTGACATCCTACACCAAGAAGGATGCAACATCACCCTCATGGGATTCTGGGCAAAAACGCATGACCCCA